AGTAGATTGATTTTGGTAGCTCTGACTCCGGCTTTTAAAAAATCGCTCGGAGTCCCCACCCCATCTCCGATCACGGCATCCCTCGGCCCGCATCGGAGTGAAAAACATGTGATGTGATGCTTTTGTCTCTTTGAACATTTCTTGGCACGTTCAAAGATAACATTACCTACGAGGTGCAGCTCTGGACTGTCCGTCCCAGGTCCTCGATAGGGAGCCAAAGCTCCAGTTGTAGGGGCGACCATATTCAACAAGGGCTGAAGATCTGTCCCAAAGTCTCAAGCTTGCAAAGACCACACATTTTATGTAGGATATTCGTAATAGTCAAGACCTTCAGCTCACTCTCAAACGGCCCTCTTCCCGTTCAAGGCCATCCGACAGCAGAAGGTCTCACCATGTCCTTTGAACGCTTGATGCTTGAGGGTGAGAGGACCTCGTCCTGGTCTGAGAGAGCCCAGGAGGATGTAATACTCAGTATGGTCCTACATTGGTCTTACCATGACCCGGCCTTCAATCACCACAGCCAACAGAATCTCCAGCTTTTATCCGACCCATCCTCGGGGATGACGTTGACTCTGACTTCAGAGTTGAAGTCTGGTACGACTTTGGTGACTCCAACTCCGTATCCGACCAAAACCGTCGACTACGACCGAAGTCGACTCCGACCCCGCGGTCCTGCAGCTACACTGCACAGAGTTTCAAACTTCTTGGAAATAAGCTGTACCTATGGTTGACAGAGGACCACACGATTTTTTAGAGGCAGGGCTGCTGGACTTGGTGACCAGATCCTAACTGTCCTGGTATCAAACTTATTACTCGGGATGCAAAATTTATGCGTTTTGGGACTGTTTTGCCAAGAGTTGTTGCCAATTTTCGCGGCGCTTCGCGCCGCCAATTCATGCACAGATAGAAAAGAGTGTGACTAATAACGCCTCCACGCGAGAACATGAGAACATGTGTATTGTGTATGCGTTATAAGTAGTGCATAGGCCTGAAATTGTACGGTAACTAGCTTTTGGGTTTTTAGTCAGCCAATCCGTCCCCCCCAGTCAAAAATCCGTGGCGACGCCCCTGCTCGCAGGCACTTCCTCGTTGGTTGGTGCGCAGGTGAATTTGCCCCCAGGGCAGCTCGGTTCGTCACGCTTAGCGCGCGCCACCCGCGCAGAGGCGTGCTCAGGGTTGGTGTCTGGGGAGGCGGAATGGTGAGTATTCCAGCTAATGGATTTGAAAGCTAAATAGGTAAGAGAGATGCAATAACGTCATCAGGTTAGTGAAGAGTGACGTAATGGAGGTTATGACGTCACAAGTTTTATGCCTGACGTCGCCTCTGCGCGTACTATTGGCTCCTGCCGGGCGGCGGCGGCGGCAGCGGCGGCGGCGGCGGCAGCGGCGGCGCGGAGCTCAGTGACCATACGAACGCGACGGGGGTGGAACGCAGCGCCATACGGTGGTGCATATACCGGTGTGGCGTACGGATATTGGTGCTGGTGCTCAGAACAACTGCGATACGTGGTGTCGAGACAGCTGAGGTGGTGTCAAAAGGTTGAGGAGTGTGTCGGAATCGGCGAAACGTGTTGGTGCGTGATTCAAGCCGGCAAAGAGAGAGAAACGGAGGGAAATAGTGGCGAGTTCCAGCGAGATATGAGTGAAACGTGGCGACCGTGCTAGTAAACGACAGTTATGGGTGGTGCCAATTAGTAACAGTGGTGGCATTTGGTGACAGTGGTGCAAATCGAGTGCTATTGGTGTCAGTTTCCGGTGGAGTTTATAGCACTACCAACATCCAAAAGGAGTTGGAGTCCTGCTTCAGGATCTTGCTATCCTGAGGAGTCGTCAGGAGCCCAGGAGCTGTCAGGAGCACAGGACTCACAACCAGGTGAGTCCGCTTTCTGCGGTAAAGGGGATGGTGATGTGTACACTGCATACTGATACGTTACCTACGCGTGTTTTGATAAGTATGGGATGCGTGTGGCCTGTGTGTGACCTGTGTTTGAGCTGTGTTTCAGGCGGTGTCTTACTTTGTGTTTAAGTCGTGTTTGAGCTGTGTTTGGGCTGTATTTGATCGTATTTGAGCAGTGTTCAGGCGCTGTTTTGGTTGTTTCAGCTGCGTTTGGGCTGAATTTGTGCGAACGTTTGAGCCATGCTGGAATGGAAAATCGTGCTTCTGGTTTTGTGGCCCATGTCCAGTTTTGTGCGTGTGATGTGCATCTGCATATGTAGGCTTGACTGTCGCCCTCGTGAGCCGTTTCGTTATGTTGTGACGCTGCGGAAAAGTGCGACATACCCGTGTTTCCCGTCAATAGGAAGGTACGTTGCTTTTACTGTGTCAATGTCGAAATGATTGCAGTGGTTGCTTGTCCCCCATTCCGACTGTCTGCTGTAAATGATTTTTCTTACTTTATCGAAGCCTCCATCAATGCAGTTTCTGGCCACGCCAGCGTATATTTCTTCCTCCCACCCCTTCCTTCCTCTTTCCACCCATCCCCTCCCCTTCTACCCATGGGAAAAGTCGGAACAAATCCCTGGCGACTGTTCCACTCGTGTGCTGCTCCATATACCGTTATTTAGCGGTGTCTTCTCTCCGGTTGAGCTAGCCGTAATCGCTCCAATTATGACGCGCTGAAGGCGGGTTTTGAAGCGTCAGCCAGCTGTGATTATATGTGCGCTCATTGTATAGAAATTACTGCTAAGAGCATACACAAACTGCCACAAACAAACAAACTGCCAGTAAGTATTTGGAGCCTCACACTGAAAAGAGACTCAAAATATGCGCGCTGAACTCTTGAATAAACGTGAAATAACCATCACAGAATCACCTTACTGGCTACTGCAATCAACCAATTACGGTTGATATTAAATTTTCCGCTCACGATTTATCCTCTCATTTAAATATCACCCTCAGATCAAGCATTTTCGCTTTACTCACTTTACAACTCACAAGATGCAGTAACTACTACATGCTCGCTCAATGTTACCGTAAAATGCTGCGCAATGAGACTTTTAATTGCACATCCCCACACTGTTTAGGCTGGACAAACTCGCAAGTGACCATGAAATTCAATCAGTGTCACAGTCGTCCTAAGCCACCCATCTTTTCACGATCCAACTTCATCCCCATAGCCCGTCATCTTTCTTCTACAGTCGTCACCATTTGAACATGCATCATGACGTCATTATACACGGCAGCGAGTTCTCAGTGGGTGGGCGTCCAGCCCGCCCTAGTTTGCAGACCAATTTGTCCAGTCCTCAGGGGACTTGTAGTCGTTTGCTGCATGTCAGTGGCGTTACTAATGTGAAGGCACACTGTTTTGATTATAATTAGCCGGGCATTGCTGGGTACATGATTCGCGCTAAGTTTAAGTCAGAGTCGTGTGTAGGGTTGTGTTGAACGCTATGAAGTGAATCTGGGGTGCTTATGAAGCTACCGACTGCTACATGATTTTAGTTTAGTTTGCAGAGCTATCAATAGCATAAGGAAATAATACTAATCATTACAACCGACCTTGGATTGAATCTTGGAAAGATGTCAGCTGATTTTTTCCCGACAACCGAGCTAAGTAGCATTATTCTATGGACTATGACAGTCGTGATTTGAACATAATTTTAATGACAGAACATGTCCTTTGCATAACTGTATATTCTGCCGCTACCTGTGGCTGTAGTGCACCATATATATGGCAGTCACACCCGCACATATCGGTGACAGGTGACATTTTAACTTCCGGTGTCACTCAACCCGCTGAGCTCGGCTGACAGTGACGTCATGACATCATGACGTCATGACGTCACATCACGGACCTTCCTCAAACAACTGACGTGCCAGGAGGGATATATTTGCTCATGTTTGCCCATGTATCTGGGATTACCCTGATTTTGTAGTAGTAGTGACACGATTAGACCATGGTATGTAGACAAGGAAATATTAGCTTACGCCTTGTGTTATCGTGCTCGGATTATAACCAATGAGTGTTCCTATTGTCAAGCATAAAAACAACCCGGTTGTAATATTTACCGGCGGCCGTGAATCTTCAAATCCATGTAATCCGTAACCGGACCCGACTGCGTCTTTGTAGGATAGTTTCCCCATCAAGATAGTGTCAGTTTGACCTTTTGACCTTTGTTCACGTGTCACGGCCCATGGGGTTGAGGAAGAGGAGGGAGGGTTATACAATGGGGGCCACGTCGGGCGCGTTGCTGAGCTGTGTGGCTTGGTGCTGGTTGTTGTTTTTTAGCACAGTGACCCTAGCGTCTCTTCAATTTGAGGTCAGCTGCCTGTTCAGTGTTTAGTGTTGAAGCAGCATGAGCTTGTTCATGGAATTGTTGTTAAAAGTTGTTGTATCAAATTATTAGTCAGTTTTCTAAGCCCCACCTTTTTCAACTTAATCGCTAAACTCATATTCTAGGCAACCGTCCAAAGAAGTTTGGTATTAATTCGTTCCTTCCCTTTTGAAGTCAGTGCGACTCAATAGACCACACTCGCTAATGTTGCATAATATGGCGGTGCGTGCCCTTACCCGAGCCTAGGTCAAAGCCAAAGGTCACCAGCTTCCACTCCTCTTAACCACTGGTCGTCCTTCCAGCACCACACGTTTGTCACGCACCCTAACTGCCCATTTCATCATTTCTCCCCTCGTTCGACCCTACCTGCCTTCCTGCAAGCCTCCCCTCATGCTACCCTGGCATCCCCCCTGTGCTGGCACCCCTCTGGGACGCTCTACCCCTCCCCTCCCCAGTGGCGGATCCAGGGGGGGGCATTTAGGGCCTTGGCCCCCCCCAAAGGCCTAAAGTGGCCTGTTTGGCCCCCCCCAAAAAATGTCAGAAGAGCATGGACGCAAATTGCTAAGAAAATATACCTTGATGGAGGTTTTTAGCCACTTGTTGAAGTAAAGCTTTGCGCAGCATAATATGGAAGCAATATGGTAGCAGTGAGGGTCAGTCAAAAGTTGCGCGGAGTCGACCTTCAAGAAAAAACCCCGCGTTCGATGTCTGTCGGGCGACGAAGATTGTACGTCGTTCGGCCAATCCCGTTCAAGATTAGCGGGGGCTCGGCTGCGGTTATGGAACGTGATTGGCCGGGCGGCGTAGAATCTTCGCATCTTCTAGAATCTTCGCGGGAGACATCGAACGCGGGAACAGACTGTTGTTGGCACGTGTTTGTGGCGCGGCAGCTGGCAGGCAGTTGGCGGTCTCGCGTGGTGTGGATTGTAGAATTGCTGGTGATGTAAGTAAATATTTTGCCCTAACCCAGAACAACAACAAAAAGTAAATATTTTGTTGAAAACTTAGCAGTGATTTCGCGCCATACCTGCCATGCACCATGCAATTAGGTTCTCAGATATTTAATACTATATCTGCTAATTCTTGCTAACATGTTAAGTTCAGGCTGGTGATTTGTTTGTGATTGATAAGCAGGGGTGGAGATCTCGGGGGGGGGGGGGTCGGGGGGTCAGGACCCCCCTGAAAACGAAGTACTGCTATGTAAGTCAATGGTACTGCATCCAGCCTGCCTCCATCTGCCCGGCCTGGACCCCCCCCCCCCCCTGACATTTTGACAGATCTCCACCCTGTTGATAAGATGCATGTCCTGTCCGTGAAATTAGTTTTTTTGTGTTTTGACAATAATTTCACCTTTGTTACTCCTTAGATTGCTTAAACTATTTGACTTCAGACTCAGTGATCTTATACATGGTAACGTCTAGTTTTTGTCAGATTTCAGATTTGTGTAGTGTATGCCCACTTTTTGAGAATTGAGTGAAATGATTGCTGTAGAAGTAGATCAAATGTCTGTGCTCAGTGCATTTCCAGGGGAGCCATTTGTGGATCATATCAACCCATCAGTTGTGGTGTGCAAACAAAATCTTGCCCATTTTTAAGTTTAGTGCATTTTTGCAAAAATATGTACTCTGCAGTCCGCAGTTGCATGTATACCTACCCACAATCTATTATTGATATTGCTTAGCATCCACAATTATCAATTTGTTGAGCCTACACATTTATTTATTATGCATACACATCTGTAATTCACCCAACTGAAATATCACAGAAGCATCTTGCTTCATTGTTATATCAATATAAAACAAATAATCTTGTGTTGCAAATCATTCAAGGTATCTATCTACTTCCAGATTCTGAACTGATTGTGTGAATTGTGGTGTGTGTCCAATAATCTTACTGGCATGTGCTGACTGCTGCTCATGGACATCAGGAAGTTTTTCAAAAGAAAGGTGAGTAGATCTTACCTAAAGTTAGACAATTCGAAACCTGGACCCCTGTGAGAATGTATGTATTTGCATGATTAATATAAGCTTTGGTTTTGCCAGAGCTGTTAATGTTATCTCATTCAGTTCAATTGCATTAAATTCTGTTATTTACAACCATTTTCCCCAAGCAGGGTTATCAGTGTGAAACAATTGAAGGACTTGGACAAGGCTGCATTGCTTTATTTCACACTTTACTTCTTCTCATTTACATTTTACTGCTATTGTTCTGTGTTCCCTATTCCAATCGTTTCCCAGTAGGTACTCATCTCATTTAGTCATTCGCCTATCAAGTCTCAGATCTAAGATCTTAACCCTAATACTGATAAAATGTGCACATTTTGTAGGCTTGCCTTGATGGCAGCGACGGACCTGCCAGTGCCTGCGCTCGGCGTTCAAGAATTGACACAGGTGCAGTGGTCTCTCAAGGTATGTAAAAAGGAACATTTTGGATCTGTTAGCTGTTAGCACGCCGAGCGAAGCATAACTTCATAAATGGTGCAAGCCTGTCCTTTTATTTGTATTTTGCCTTTTTTATGTAGACTGTGAGTGGGCATATACATCTCATAGAACAATGTTTTTCATTTATTCTTGGTAATCATGCTACTTGGCAGTGAACACCATAACATTTAACTTAAGCGTAGCGCCAGTAGCGACCTTCACCGCTCCCAGACCTAACCCCGAGCCATCACACGGGTCATGGTTATGGTGGAGGTCGGATGAACGGTGAACCCAGTTTTCATAAATAACTGGCAAAATGAGCGGCGGGCTGCAACGCGCATCGTGTGCTTAACTCTTTGCTGGCTTGAGTGAAGTCAAAGAGTTCAGCACGGCTGAGCACGGCTAAGATCACATGTCATCCCTAACGCTTCACGATGCGTCTCATTTAAGTCGGCTAACACTATGACCCAAATTTAGAGTCTATATGTATTATCTGACAAGTTATTAATCAAGGCACAAAATAACTTGAATTAACTCTGGGTGACCCTGCCGGCTGTGTTCGTCTACCACACAGACCACGACGATCCTGGGGGTGCGGTTTGCGGTGATGAATCATCCCCGGCCATCAGCCCCTCTCTGTCACCGTTCACGGAACGATGTTCCGGCGCCGCGACCGACGGAGGCCCTCGCGGTGTCACCCACCTGGCGCAGTGGTCACAACCTGCCGCCGTGGCCCTGTCGCCGGACCAACGCACGGCTCCTTCCTCGTCCACGGGACGATCTCCTGGCGCCGCGACCGACGGAGGCCCTCGCGGTGTCACCCACCTGGCGCAGAGGTCACAACCTGCCGCCGTGGCCCTGTCGCCGGACCAACGCACGGCTCCTTCCCCGTCCACGGGACGATCTCCTGGCGCCGCGACCGACGGAGGCCCTCGCGGTGTCACCCACCTGGCGCAGAGGTCACAACCTGCCGCCGTGGCCCTGTCGCCGGACCAACGCACGGCTCCTTCCCCGTCCACGGGACGATCTCCTGGCGCCGCGACCGACGGAGGCCCTCGCGGTGTCACCCACCTGGCGCAGAGGTCACAACCTGCCGCCGTGGCCCTGTCGCCGGACCAACGCACGGCTCCTTCCCCGTCCACGGGACGATCTCCTGGCGCCGCGACCGACGGAGAACCTCGCGGTGACACCCACCTGGCGCAGAGGTCACAACCTGCCGCCGTGGCCCTGTCGCCGGACCAACGCACGGCTCCTTCCCCGTCCACGGGACAATCTCCTGGCGCCGCGACCGACGGAGGACCTCGCGGTGTCACTCACCTGGCGCAGAGATCGCGATCTGTGAGTGCCCCATCCCAAAAGCAAATCCATCCAAATGATTTTGGCCACCTCATCAGCAGGAAATTGGGGACGTCCGGGCTTCCGACGAAACTGGACACGTCTTCGATCAGGGCAGGTCTTGGTACTAGATGGAAGCCAGAAAATAAAAACGCATTTCCCCAGTCGTACCATAAATACAAGGGGGGAGTGCGAAACCGACGCATAACTCCCGATCACCTGACTGCCTTCCCGTGGTTGGCCATCTCGCACCACGAAGAACATTGGGGTGCGTGGTGTGCAAACTGCGTGCTTATGGGTGGGACTCAGGCGGGGGGCCAGTCCGGAGCATCAAACCAGCAGCTGGGGAGACTTGTCACCCGTCCCCTACGAGATTTCTCGGACCTGACCGGGAAGACTGGAGTCCTCTCTCTGCACAACAATACGGACTATCACAGAAGGAACACAGCTGCTGCTGCTGAATTCCTTCTTAGACAAGAAAACAGCCAAGACGTGGAGAGCATCGTCACCTCGGCGAGCAAGCGAGAGGTGGAGAGGAATCGGGCGGCGCTGGCGAGCATTATCGACACGCTAAAGTTCGCCGCCATGCAGAACATCGCCCTACGTGGTCACCGAGATGACGGCCGCATCGACCCGTCAGGGAAATTCCCAGATCAGAATGATGGGAACTTCCGGATGCTTCTAAGGCTTCGAATCCAGAGTGGAGACCAGGAACTTCAAGACCACCTGCGATGTGCAGCCGGCTCAGCCCTGTACACGAGTAAAACGATTCAGAACGAACTTCTACAGGACATCCTCCAGCTCATCAGACAAGATATCTCCAAGAAGGTGGCAGCGTCACCTCTCTGGGCCATACTAGCAGATGAAACGACCGACCGGGCTCAGCGAGAGCAGCTGGCTGTCGTGGTTCGGTACCTGGATCGCGTGAATGGGAAGTGCATTGTTAGAGAAGATCCGATCACGCTCATTGATGTCTTCAACGAACTGGGAGCGGTGGACGCGGATGAAGAGGTGCAACTATCCGGAGCAAACATATCGAAGGTTCTTCTCGAGGTGATCAGCCGCTGCCGACTGGACACAGGCCACCTGATCGCCCAATGCTACGACGGGGCAGCGGCGATGGCCAGTGCCAAGGTGGGAGTGGCCAAGCGACTCCAGGAAGTGGCGCCTCTGGCTCACTACTACCACTGTGCCATGCACGGTCTAAACCTGTCAACATCCACCATCAACAGCGTGGCCACCGTCAGAAACGCTCTGGGGACAATGGAAACAGTCATCGTCTTCGTCACGGACAGCGCAAAACGCACCATCGTCCTCCGACAGGCGCAAAAGAAGACTGGAGTGGAGCAGCAGCGTCTGATCAAACTCTGCCAGACAAGGTTTGTGGAGCGGCATACTTCTGTCCAGAGGTTCTGCGAGCAGCTCCCAGCGATCGTGGATGCTCTGCAGATGATGACCACCTGGTCGGATTCGAAGACCAGCTCCAAGGCATCAACGCTTCTGGCCGCCATGTCAGCCTCAGAGTTCTTCGTCGGGATGGTGATCGCCAAGGCTCTGGCAGGGCTGCTACGCCCGGTTTCATTGCAGCTGCAAGAAGAGGAAGTAGACTTCATGCAGACCCTCCAACTCACACGAGCCACCATCGACGCGCTAACTGACCTGCGCAACGACGAGAAGGCCTTCGACCGGCTAATGCTGGAAGCCCAGTCGATGGCCAACGAGTTGAACGTCGTTCTGGCGAAGCCACGTGTTGCGTCACGTTCAACGTGCAGAGCCAACGCCGGCGCGGACGAAAATGTCAGCGCTTCAGAGCACTACCGGTTGAATGTCATGCTGCCAGCCGTAGATGCAGTGCGCTGTGATATGGAGTCCCGGTTCGGCACTGACAAGTCAGCTGAAGACCCTGCAGGCAAAGCCACCCGTGCACCGCATGGCTCTCATCATCCCCAAGCCTACGCGCTCTCCTACATCCTACCGAAGCGGGTGGCAGGCGCCACATGGGAGGATGTCCGTCCCGGATGGGAGCTGTTCCAGCCAGTCCTCCCAACGCGTGACGAGTCGCTGGCGAGGGCCGAGTTCCTGGTGTGGGCGGCGATGTGGAGTCGCACCAAGGAAACGGCTCCCGTCACGGCAGCAGCGACCCTCGACCACTGCAGCCAGGCGTCCTTCCCTACAATGCATCGCTTGCTTCAGGTACGTCCCAATCTACATGTAACCTAGGTTGGATATTTGAGCGTACTGATTTAAGCACAGTCCGCTGCGACATGCGTTTGTCGTGCATTACTCATGAATCTTTTCAACGACATTTGACAACTGGTAGCTGACAGAATAAGAGGGTCAGTTTATTGTTAAGGATGCTTTCTTAAAGACCATTCCCGCCGATTTCCATATATATATATATATATATATATATATATATATATATATATATATATATATATATATTTCCATATGTCATATATATATATATATATATATATATATATATATATATATATATATATATATATATATATATATATATATATATATATATATATATATATATATATATATATTTATATTTATATATATGATGGGAGCAGGACTCTGAATCCTACAGTTGAAAATTGTAATCCGTTCATAAAAAATGAAATTTAATACTCACTCGTTTCTAGCAGTGCCATTGACGTAAAACGAAAACTACCATCGCTCGTGATTGCTGTTTCCAGATCCTTGCGGTGCTCCCGGTATCGTCAGCCGAGGCGGAGCGCCTGTTTAGCAAGGTGGAGCGCACTCTGACGGCGATACGGGCGACCATGGCAGAGGAGAGGGCAGAGGCACTCATCATGTGTCAGGCTCACAGGGACTCTATCCCACCGACTACAGACATCATCAACCACTTCATCATGTCTGGAGCTCGGCGTGCAAAACTTGGAGGCCTGCTATAAGCTCAAGGTTTGTTGAATACAGCGATACTGAAGTCCACATAAAGCAATGTAAATATGCATGATGATGACTAGTGGACAGTGGTTTTAGGTCGCTCGGTGCTATGGTCACCGGCGCCTATGTAAATATACATAATGTCCATAGTAGCTTCATGTATGTACATTGTACAGCAAACACGGTTTGCATTTAATCTTTTTGCTGTTTAATTGCTTATTTATTTTTTAAGCTAGTACTAACCACTAGCTTCCATCATCTACGGAATTTCCTGTCGCACATATTCGTGCTGTTTTCTCTGGACTGCCAGTGCCGCTCGCTAGCCGCAAATAGAATTCGCCTAATATTCCTTGCGTCTTCAAATCAGTGTCATCTGTTTCAGGATACCTCAGCGCGTGACGTGTCCCAGCCCACGATGTCGTGCCGTGATCGAGCTTGATCGAGGCCCCGCGCAACCCGCGGGCCAGTGCGCGGACTGGCGGAACCTGCCAGTGCAGTGATGGCTGTGATGGGTAGCTGAAGTGAACAGCTTCAAGTGAGGAGTGAACAGCTTCAACTTTGTGGTATTGAGTACCGTGGTCAGTGTTTAGCATATGATATGCATTTCGTGAGCAAAGAATACAAACTTTATTCTATTTATGCTTGCTTGTCTATGAGGCTGGGGAGCGATATTTAGTTTCATAGCTAGCCGTGCCCTGTTTTTCAGTGTAGTGCTGCAGTTCGATTTGATTTTAATTGGTTCGATTGTGCTGGACTCCAGCCTGTTTACTTATTACCCTAATTTATACACAATTGAAGGAGAGGCATAAACTAGATGATTCAGCCATTCAGCCGGATGATGCAATTCATCCACGCTTCCGAAAAGAAGACCGATGAACAGGTCTTTAACATGCTGTTGGCTGCCTCTGCAAAATTGTTATGGTAAAAGTAGATGATTTTGTTCACTAAGAATTGCAAGTAGCGTCAATTGTTGGCGAAATGTACTTTAAGCATCGTCTCGTCATTGACTTGACTACAGAATGGCGCCTGTAGCTGTACGGATGTCAGTCAGAATGAAATGATATTTACTGATGCATAATAATTATCAATCACTAATATGATATTGAGGTATTGGGCGTAAAGGCATAAAACAATTTTCCGCTTCCCCTTCGAGCTGCCAGCAAACATAGAGACAATTAGCTATGCTATGCGTAACCAATCTCAGCGCCAACCTCACAACCAAGTCCCTCCAGGAAAACACTGTAGCTGTACAAAAAGGGGCTATTGGTATATTCAGCCCAAATGAACACGACACAAACATACTAGCAAGTATACATGTCTCAACCGAGATTGCCCTGCCAACGGGCCGCCACCCCTCCCCCCGCGCGGCGCAATGGTGTCCCCACCCAAACTAGAAACCCTGTCGTGTGTGTCCTCCCCCGGAAAAAGTCCTAACTAGAAAAAAAACCGGGGGACCTAGTTGGGGAAAAAACCACATTTTGTGGAAAAACCCATCTTTATTTAAGAGTGTGGTGCGTGTAAAAAAAGAGCCCCAAAAATGGTGGTGGGTGGGTGGGAAACGCAAAAACATTTCAGAGCGAGAACACTGCTGACTTGCGTCAGACCGGGCGGCTTAGAACAGAGTGACCGCGCAAATGCACTCAAACCCCGCGCCGTCACGGTCACGTGACACGAGTCGCTCCACCAATCAGAGGAGGCCGCCGCCTTAGCGGCCTCGCCGCCCGGGGGCGCAGGCGGCCGCCCGCCTGCCGCCGAACGCTGCTCGCAGAGGCCGGCCCGGCTCCGGGGCCGCCCCAGAGAAGACGCTCGTAGTGTCGCGGAAAAACCGGTTATATCTTGTCATATATAACCGGGCGTATTTTCCGCTTCCCCTTCGAGCTGCCAGCAAACATAGAGACAATTAGCTATGCTATGCGTAACCAATCTCAGCGCCAACCTCACAACCAAGTCCCTCCAGGAAAACACTGTAGCTGTACAAAAAGGGGCTATTGGTATATTCAGCCCAAATGAACACGACACAAACATACTAGCAAGTATACATGTCTCAACCGAGATTGCCCTGCCAACGGGCCGCCACCCCTCCCCCCGCGCGGCGCAATGGTGTCCCCACCCATTCAATACATCCACCCAGACACCAATGCGCCAAAATAAAACACCCCCTTCCCGTCCCCGAGACCAGCAGACCGAATGGGGGATACAAATTAACACAAAAGACCTCTAGTCGCCGCCAGTGTCGAGACCAGTGGCAGAACCCACCCAAATACGTGCTTGGTTGAAGGTAGGTAATTATTTCCTCAACCTGGCCCGAAGCTTACCAGAAACGCCACGATCCCTAAAACCTGCCAACATGAATGTGAGCGATACAGCGGTCACCAATGAAGAACAATATTACGGCATTACAGCAGCCCTTACAGCAGGACTAACAACCATTAGCATTAGCCACTACTGCGATGATAGCCTCCACCAACTAAAGGCCCTCGATATACCCGCCGAAAAAACAACCATCCATGAGTTCTGAGGCATCTGACAACAGAAGCTGTATATTCCTTTACCTTGAACCCTATGCACATGCCTATCAGCGCGACCATTAATTTTCCCAGAACTTTGGAAGGGGTTAGAACAGCATTAACGAAGGTCGTTGACAGCCGCCCAGCAAAAAAGGGGAGGGCTCTCACCCGCTCCAGGAATCAGCGCTCTAAGCCGCCGTAAGGACACCCGCGCTATCGGGCGTCCTAGCGGCAGCTACCTACGGGTAGACTAGCGAGCCGCCCCGTGTCCGTTGTAGAAGGTGGAAGAATGGAGCATCCCGGGCAGCACCCGAGGCCATGAGAAACGGCTTCCCCGGGCAGACTAACGAGCTGCTTTTTTCTTTTATTATTGTTTTTGTCATTGTTAATTATTATTATTATTGTTGTTATTATTATTATTACTGTTACCATTATTGCTATTATTTTAGCGCCGCCCCTTAAAAAAAAAACATGGAAACCCATTGGTTGTTAGGCAATTGAAAACAGAGGCCGCAGCTACTGTTACGTGTACCTTAGCCCCTGTGCTATACGTGGCAATGATAACGACCATGAATGTTACCTAAAATTTTGCAAGGGGTTAAAACAGTGACCACGAGACTATAGGTAATCAGGTCATAGATAGCCGACCAGCAAAAAGGGGAGAGCTCTCAGCGCGCGCCGGCATCAGCATTCTAAGCCTCCGGAATGACGCCTGCGCTATACCGGCGTCCTGGCGGCAGCCACCTCCAAGCAGACGAGCAAGCCGCCCCGAGGCCGTTGTAGAAAAGTACATCCTCGGCAGACTAGACAGCTGCCCCGAGGCCGTTGTAGAAGGGGACACCCCCGGGTAGACTAGCGAGCTGCCCCGAGGCCGCTGTAGGAGACACCCCCGGGCAGACTAGCAGGCTGTCCCGAGGCCGTTGCGGGAGAGGGCACCCCGGGCAGACTAGCGAGCCGCCCCGCGGGGTCGTTGTAGGAGGGGACACTCTGGGGCAGACTAGCGAGCTGCCCCGAGACCGTTGTAGAAGGGGGCACCCCGGGCAGACTAGCGAGCTGCCCCGAGGCCGTTGTAGGAGAGGACACCCCCGGGCAGACTAGCGAGCTGCCTCGGGGTCGTTGTAGAAGGGGATACCCCCGGGAAGACTAGCGAGCTTCCCCGGGGTCGTTGTAGAAAGGGGACACCCCCGGGCAGACTACCGAGCTGCCCCTGGGTCGTTGTAGAAGGGGACCCCCCCCCCCCCGGGCAGACTAGCGAGCTGCCCCGGGGCGTTGTAGAAGGGGACACCCCCGGGCAGACTAGCGAGCTGCCCCGGGGTCGTTGTAGAAGGGGACACCCCCGGGCAGACTAGCGAGCTGCCCCGGGGTCGTTGTAGAAGGGGACACCCCCGAGCAGACTAGTGAGCTGCCCCGGGGTCGTTGTAGAAGGGGACACCCCCGAGCAGACTAGTGAGCTGCCCCGG